TCGGGCCGGACCAAAATTACACTCCTATTCATATCCCGTAGGGGTGTAATTTTGGCCCACCCTATGTCAAGACTTGCGGGTTCCCGTCAAAAAATCAGGCCTGGCCGGGCCACAGGCTAGAAAACTAGGCCCAAGCCCAGGCCCAGGGGTATTCGGGCTTTGGGAGGGCGAGTGGGCCGGGCCTCGGGGCGGGTCCCTAGGCTTGGGCCTAGGCTCGGGCTTTGGGCAGGCCTAAGCAATTTTTTTTATTTTTTCCACCAAAATTTTATTATTTTCCATTAAAAATAACACTGGGCCTTGGGCTAGCCTTTTGGGTGGGCCTTGAACGGGCCAATGACTGGGCCCGGCTTCAAAACGATGGCCCAGCCCCTGTCCCAAGACCACGGACTGGGCTTGGGTTCGGGCCTAAACGAGCCAGGCCCACCTCGGGCTGTGGGTGGGCTTCGGGCCACCTGCGAGCCACGGGCCAAAATTACACCCTTAACCTCCTCCACAAAAAAATATATGTACAATAAAAATTATAAAATTTAAAGTTTAATTTACTACTATTATAAAAGTATGAAAAATCTGTCACATTTTTTACTTTTTTTTTTAAATCTCAATTTTATCCTCTCAAATCTACTATATGTTCTAAAAGTCATAAAGAGTCCTATATAAATCGACTATTTCTTTATTTTTGGAGTTGAATACTCCAAAACGGTATATTTGCTTCCAAGAGTCCTATATAAATTTAAACAAACTGTCTCTCTTCTTATAAAAAAAAAAAGAAGTCGTCTACCTATTTTTTACATTGATGATGATTGAAGAACAAAAAATAATTACTCTTTTTTATTTCTGTGTCTGTTTTTATTATGATATACATAATATTTACAATTGTCCATCATGGATCAAATCATTGTGAATAATTTTGTTTTAATATTAAATTTGTATGTATTTATTTAAATCTAGAGAGAGGAAAACACATACGTTTTTAAAATAAAGATTTGTGCTTTCTACATCTCAAAATTTTGCAGGTTACCTTCAGACACTTTCTTTTGTTTAAATTATATTGTATGAGCTATAATATTTTACATGGTACTTTAATAACCAATTTATGATATCAATATTCTAAACAAGAACAACTTTTGTTGGTTTTATTTTTTAAATCTGTTTTTTAATTTTTGATTTTTCATATTTTCACAGTTTTGGTGATTAAAGATACTGAAATTTTTTCATATTTTATATTTAAATTATACTTTTACATAAAACTCTAATATCTAATAATGTAAATAAAATTAAAAAGTAAAATATTTCTAAAAAAATTTGTAATTTTTTGTTATTATATATATATATATTTATTATTATTATTATTTATTATTATTATTATTATTATTATTATTATTTAATATTAATATTTTTTTAAAAGAATACAAATGAAATTATTTTCTAATTGCATTTAGATTAAGTGAATCTAAATCTAAAAGTAAAATTAAAAAATAAAAAATTATTAAATTAAGTGAATTTTTTAAAAAAGTTATTAAAAAAAACTGTGTCAAAGACAAAAACAAAAAAATGAAAATCAAAAAATTCAAAACAAAAGCTTGAAAAAACAAACCAAATAAAAATGTGTGCATGAGGTATATTCAGCCAAGTACGTATTCATTTCTTACTTAATAGTATTTTGGATACAGATCAATTTATTCATATGAGTCTCCATACTTTGTATACATATCATATACCAATTTAAAAGACATGCATAATTACAATATTAACAGTTGATAAAAAAATCAATTACTTACAGATGTCATAATAAATTATGTAACTTGATAGTTTCATTAAAGTGATCCTGCAAACATTTATAAGTATAGATCTATAAATATCGTGAAATAATTATAAATTCTTATATCAATCAAAATATTAAGTTACAATATCATTCCATTTTCTTAAAAAAATTATTCCAAGTTTTCAATATAAATGAAAATATAATAATGACTAATGTTATATTTTCATTATGCAAGATATTCTTGGCACAAAAATGAGACTAAATAATTTTTTATTATAAAAATATATTACATATTAATACTAATGCATTCTTACACCAATAGTGTACAAAAAATATGTAATAGTGAGTTCAATAAATTTGTATTATGAGATGAACTATTAAACAAAATTGTGTAATTGTGCAATTTATTTCATATCTTCAATTGTATTACAGGTACAGATTATGAAAAATTGAAATGAGAAGTTGATAGAAAAAAATTTGTGTAATACTATATATTTAAATGACCTGCTTATTGTTTATTGTATAAGATAAGATTGTGATCTCAACAATTAGCTATAAATTAATGTTTATGTTTATAAAATTTCTCATTTCTCATTTAAATTCTTCAGCCAAGTACGTATTCATTTCTTACTTAATAGTATTTTGGATACAGATCAATTTATTCATATGAGTCTCCATACTTTGTATACATATCATATACCAATTTAAAAGACATGCATAATTACAATATTAACAGTTGATAAAAAATCACATGCCCAACCACTAGTACATAAAAGGACAAAATAGTCTAAAATAGTGCACGCTAAGGGTCCAAAAAATATTTTTTCATAAATCCCTCTTCAACTACTTATTTTTCACTTCAAATTATTTTCTTCTATTTCGCTAAGTCATACAGGTGACATAGTTACCAAAATACCTCTAATAATAATAGGGTAAAACGCGCATTAATGTTCATATTGGCAATATGAATTCAAGTGAAATTTAATAGATCTCGTTAACTAGTTTTCAAAAATATAAATTTCATTAAAAAAAAAATATGTACAACAAAATTATGAATTGAAAGTTTAATATATAAAAAGCACAAATTAGTCCAAAATATGCACACCAAGTTGTTAAGGATTCAAAAAATATTTATAAGGGTAAAATTGTCTATAAAATACCTTTAACATGAGAATTAGAATTTAGTGGATTAAATGTCTAAATAATTAGATTAATTGTAATACAAAAATATATTATGAACTAATTAAGATACAAGTATGAGGATTTCCTAACAAATTCCCTTAAAACATATCATTACTAGGAATTAAACTTTTTGACAATAAATTGCCATGTTTTGCGACTTGGCTTTTGGCTAAAATAGCCAACAAATACAAAAAATGTTACAATAGTCAATAAGACAAAGAAAAATTATTCATCTCCCTAATTGTGACCCCCTGATTTCATCCTCAATGATGTGAAATTAGAGGGGGCTAAAGATGAGAGGAGAGGAGTGTGAGACCGCTTCATATGAGTTTTAGTCGTGTCAGTAGGGTGGAATTGGAGGGATAAAGTTAGAAAGATGTAGTATTGCTCTAAGACAAAATGTCAAAAAATTCACTAATCATTCCAAACATAACTTTTTTTCATCTCATAAAATAGTTTAAAAAAAATAAAAGACCAATTGAAATAGCTAAGTTTTCAAAAGGTGCTCAAAAATAAAATTTAGGACAAATTATAGATGCACCTCTTGAGGTTTGTTTAACATACAGATTGCCCACCGTGATTTGAAAAATTATAATATCCCATTGTCAGAAATTTTTTATTTAACAAAATTAATTAAAAATATAAAATTTCTAACTGTTCTCTTATACAATAATAAAATTATTTGAATTATTAATTGAAATAAAATTTTAATATTATTAAAAACTGTTTATTAACTTGATAATTTATTAATAAAATGGACTATTTATTATGAATATAAAAATCTTAAATAATTTTTAAAATTACAAAAAATAATTCATATTTTAAGTAAATTTTATAGGTGTGTTGATAATTTATCCTAAAATTGTTTTTACAAAGTCTACCCAACCTATATGCTATTATGTTTAGGAGAATCTAGCCCCAATCAGTTCACGTGCTGGACTCATTCCAACCAGTGTTTTAAAAAGTGGATCGGTGAGCAAATCAGAAAATGGATTGAGTGGATGGGTCATTGATTCAGCCGTCGAGTTAAATCAGAATTGAACCGTGACATCAGGAATTGAACCTTAATGTCATAAATAAATTAAAATTATATTTAAATAAAAATATAAGTAATAAAATTATAAATTTTAAAAAATTAAAAATATTAAATTATCTTAAATATTTCTCTAATATTTTTTTACTAAAAAATATAATAATATATTTAAAAATATTATTAATTTCAATTTTGGAATAGGAAACTAAATATTCAATATTCCTTCTATATGATTTTAATTTAAATAATTTAATTGAAAGAAGAGCAAAAATTTTAGAGGGATGTCAAAATTTCAAGTATTCCTCCAATAAATTTGATTGAATCCCATATGGATTTTTTATTATCTCTAAATAGGCCAATTTTTGAGTTAAAATGGTTTAAAAGATACATTCAAACAAAAATTTCAACCGGCCAAACTAGCCTATTGGGTTCGATTTTCAAAACCTTCATTTCAACATCCTTAAATAGGAGATATACGTTATTTGATGGTTTTGGAAAAGTCTAACCAACCTACTATATGCTATTGTGTTTAGGCGAATCTAGCCTCTATCAGTTGACGTGATGGACCCATTTCAACAACCTTAAATAGGACTTACATTATTTGGAGGTTTAGGAACACATTTATGTGGTGTCAGATATGTTATGATTGGTAAAAAGAGTTTTTCTTATAATTTTATATTCAGTAATTAAAAAATAAAAGGAGATATAATAATTTGTGATTAATCCGAGGCACCGTCAGATAGTGTCCTTGGACTAAGAAATAATTTTTTTGACTCACAAACCACAAATAATGCAATTATATCACAATTTCAAAAATTTTAATCTGAATTTTATTAAGAAATGATTTGACAACCACTTAAATAAGCAACTTATTTATAATTTATGATTCAATTTTATTTTATATTTAAACTCTATATAATATAAATTCAATCTCTTTTACACAAGTATATTACTTACATATTTTTCTAAGACAGTAACATTTGTGAAAGTAATATATATAACTACTTACATGGAAAAGAATGTATTTATAAACAACCTCAACACAAATGAGGAGTTCAGGTTTGAGCTTTAGTAAGTTTTGTTCATTTCTATGTTGCTTGAGCTTGCTGCAATCAAGCATTCTTGCCACCAAATTGACCTCTAGGTCAGGAGGGAACGAGACAGATCAACTTGCATTACTTGCATTCAAAGCCAGAGTAATCGAAGATCCTCTGCAGGTTTTGAGCTTCTGGAATGCAACAACTCACTTCTGCCATTGGCATGGCGTAACATGTGGTCGTCGTCACCAGAGGGTCACGAAATTGGACTTAAGTTCCCAAAAATTGGCAGGAACTGTATCACCTCATATCGGAAATCTAAGCTTTCTCAGAGCGCTACAACTACAAAACAATAGCTTCAGTGGTGCAATTCCTCCTGAACTCAGCCGTTTGAGAAGATTGCAAGTATTACGCCTACACAACAATTCCATCACCGGCAACATTCCTGCCAACTTATCTCGTTGTTCTGAGCTCATTATTTTCAACATCCAGAACAACAAGCTAGTGGGAAGAATTCCTTCAGAGCTTGGCGCGTTGTCAAAGCTCGAAATCATTAGCATCGGTTCCAACAATTTCATAGGACTTATCCCTCCTGTTTTTGGAAATTTGTCTTCTCTTCAACAACTTCTGGCAAGCAAAAACAATTTGGCAGGGAGCATCCCTGATGCTCTATGTCGGTTGACAAGCCTAATTTATGTTGTAGTGAATGAAAATAGCTTATCAGGTACAATTCCTCCTTCGCTTTTCAATCATTCATCTATTGTGGCTATCGACGTGGGAACTAACCAAATTGAAGGGAGTCTTCCCTTACACTTTGGCATTTCTCTCCCAAATCTCGAATACCTCAGCATTCGTGGAAACCAATTTACTGGTTCCATTCCTGTATCCATTTCAAATGCCACGAATCTGGCGTTCTTCGGTGTGGGTAGAAATGAACTCGTTGGAAAAGTTCCTTCCCTGGAGAAGTTGCAAAAACTTCAGCGATTCGCTGTTGCTTTTAATGGTCTTGGAAGTGGGAAAGCTGATGACTTGGGCTTTCTATCCTCTTTGACTAATGCCACAAATTTGGATCTGCTTTCAAATGCCACGAATCTGGCATTCTTCGGTGCGGGTGAAAATGAACTCGTTGGAAAAGTTCCTTCCCTGGAGAAGTTGCAAAAACTTCAGCGATTCGCTGTTGCTTTTAATGGTCTTGGAAGTGGGAAAGCTGATGACTTGGGCTTTCTATCCTCTTTGACTAATGCCACAAATTTGGATCTGCTGGAGCTGAATCAGAACAATTTTGGAGGGGTGTTGCCGGAATCCATTAGTAATCTCTCTACTAAGCTTACAGACTTATCTCTAACTTACAATCAATTGTCTGGAGATGTACCGGCAGGGATTTGCAATCTTATCAACTTGGAAAACCTCTTTTTGGCAGGCAACCAGTTCACAGGTAATATTCCACCTAATATTGGTCAGCTTCAAAAGCTACAAGAGTTTGCGTTACTTGAAAACCAATTCTCAGGGAATATTCCCAACTCATTTGGAAATTTAACTTTGTTATCCAAATTCAGTTTAGCGGAAAACAAACTTCATGGAAGCATCCCTGCAAGTTTGGGGAACTGTAAAAATTTGGTGTTATTGGATCTTAGTGCCAACAACCTTAGTGGTACAATACCAAAAGAAGTGTTTGATATTTCATCACTGTCAATACTTCTGAACCTATCTCAAAACCATCTAACTGGTTCACTTCCCTTAAATATTGGAAATCTGATTAATCTCGGTTCCTTGGACCTTTCTGAAAACAAGTTATTAGGTGAAATTCCAGTCACTCTCGGTAGTTGTGTAAAATTGGAAATCCTATACTTGCAAGCCAACTTGTTTCAGGGGACCACTCCTTCGTCTTTGAGATTTTTGAGAGGGATTCAAGTTTTAGATCTTTCTCACAACAATTTGTCAGGGAAAATCTCAGATTATTTAGAAGGTTTTGAATTCTTGCAGGAACTAAACCTGTCTTTTAATGATTTTGATGGTGAGGTGCCAGTTAAAGGCATCTTCAAGAATGCAAGTGCTGTTTCAATCATAGGAAACAATAAACTTTGTGGGGGTGTACCTGAATTACAATTACCCATATGTAACTTCAAAGGTTCCAAAAAAAGGTCCATTTTTAGTTTAAAATATGTTCTCTCTTTATTATGCGGGCTTTTGGGAGCAATTTTGATGACATGTTTGGTGTATATTTTTTGGTTCAAGAAGAAGATTAAGGAGCCTTGTTCAGTTTCACTGGAACATTTACTCATGAATGTGTCTTACCAAGGTCTCCTTAAAGCTACTGATGGGTTCTCTTCAGCCAATTTGGTTGGTATTGGTAGTTTTGGGTCAGTGTATAAAGGAATTCTTGATGATGGAACGGTTGTTGCGGCAAAGGTACTTAACCTTTTACATCGAGGAGCTTCCAAGAGCTTCATTGCTGAGTGTGAGACCTTGAGGAATATTAGGCATCGAAATCTTGTCGATGTACTAACTGCATGTTCAGGTATTGATTATCAGGGCAACGATTTCAAAGCACTGGTTTATGAGTTCATGGTCAATGGGAGCTTAGATGGGTGGCTGCATCCAAATATTGGAGAACATATGGTTGATGATATGCCCTTGAGTTTGAATCTTCTTCAAAGGTTAAATATTGCCATTGATGTTGGTTCTGCTTTGGATTATCTTCACCATCATTGCCAAACACCAATAGTTCATTGTGATTTGAAGCCTAGCAATGTTCTTCTAAATAGTGAAATGACTGCACATGTAAGTGACTTCGGGTTAGCAAAATTCCTTCTTGAAGTCAACCATTCCAATTCTGCAAACCAATCAAGTTCTATTGGAATACGAGGATCTGTCGGTTATGCTGCACCGGGTAAGCATGCTTTCATATTTTTTTCCCCAAAAGGTTTATTTACATATATCATTTGAAATAGCAAACATTTAATAACAACATTACATCTATTCCTATTTCATTTATGAAAAGTTGGATTTTGTTGTGTGAATTGTAGAGTATGGAATGGGAAGTGAGGTATCAACGTATGGCGATGTGTACAGCTATGGCATCCTCTTGTTCGAGATGTTCACAGGAAAAAGACCCACTGATGAGTTGTTTAATGACAATTTGACCCTTCACAACTTTGTCAAAATTGCTTTGTCTGACGGAGTAGAGAGGATTGCAGATCCAATTCTTCTTAAACAAGGAGAGGGGGAAACAAGCAAAACTGCCACGGGCACTGGTAAGAATTGGAGTAATGTTAAAATTTTGGAGACTTTGGTTTCGATTTTTCGAATTGGAATTGCTTGTTCTGCAGAATTGCCGAGAGAACGACCCAACATGAGTGATGTGGTAGCTGAGTTGCTTGTGATCAAGGATGCTCTTGTTGGAACTAGTAAAAGACATTGAAGAAATAGAGGGACTGTTGCAAGGCCTGTTTAAATATGTATTGCAATGATCTTAAATAAGGTTGCCTTATAGTCTATTTATGTGTTCCAATAAAATTGATTTTGAGTACAAACAAGCCCTGTATGTTTCATTTATGTGTGGAATGAAAATTGATTGCGTTGATTAGGGGGTTGCATGCAACTTGAAATGAATCACAGTGTTTCTTGTATAATAAATAGACATGTTTGTTTTAGTTAAATGCCTCTTTGCAATCAAACAATTATGCTATATTTGATTCATGTGAATGAATTAGAATAATGCTTATTCTATCATGATTTTGATTTATTAAAAAAAATTGTGAAAAATGGATTATAAATGAAATTATCATTCATTATTGTAAGAGAATGATCATTTCATAAAAAAGATAAGGAATAACCAAGCAATTTCTATATGTTTTCATTTTAATAAATCAAACACTACCATAAGATTTTGAAAAAGGAGCACACAAGATCATCAATACTTTGCTGAAACAAATTCCACTTTACTTTCTTTTTCTTTATTACTTTGTTTTTTTCTTTTTTAAGTTTCTTTCCTTTCACTAAGCGAAACATTTGGGGCTTAATAACATTTGACCTTGATGCATAGGGTCTGCAACACACGGGCATACCATTTGCACCCTTTCATCACTATGTTTCATAATTAAAATTATTTTAAGACATAATTAAATAACTCTTTAAGACTAGTCTTGATGCATATGGTACACACGGGCTTAAATAACTCTTTAAGACTTGATGCATATGTTATTGAAAATTGATTGCGTTGATTAGGGGGTTGCATGCAACTTGAAATGAATCACAGTGTTTCTTGTATAATAAATAGACATGTTTGTTATAGTTAAATGCCTCTTTGCAATCAAACAATTATGCTATATTTGATTCATGTGAATGAATTAGAATAATGCTTATTCTATCATGATTTTGATTTATTAAAAAAAATTGTGAAAAATGGATTATAAATGAAATTATCATTCATTATTGTAAGAGAATGATCATTTCATAAAAAAGATAAGGAATAACCAAGCAATTTCTATATGTTTTCATTTTAATAAATCAAACACTACCATAAGATTTTGAAAAAGGAGCACACAAGATCATCAATACTTTGCTGAAACAAATTCCACTTTACTTTCTTTTTCTTTATTACTTTTTTTTTTCTTTTTTAAGTTTCTTTCCTTTCACTAAGCGAAACATTTGGGGCTTAATAACATTTGACCTTGATGCATAGGGTCTGCTACACACGGGCATACCATTTGCACCCCTTTCATCACTATGTTTCATAATTAAAATTATTTTAAGACATAATTAAATAACTCTTTAAGACTTGTCTTAATGCATATGGTACACACGGGCTTAAATAACTCTTTAAGACTTGATGCATATGTTATAACTCTTTATAACAGAGAGAGGGGCGCGCACGGAAATGAGGTTTGGCTGGTTGAAAATTGAACCTTTAGCGACTAATTTCTGTATTTGTCGGCAAAGGGATAGGTCTGCCGACTACATTTTTTTGTAGCCAAAAGGTTACTGAACAACGACAAAAATATTAGTTGCCAAAAGTACTACTTGGCGACTAATTTCAATTTTAGTCGGGAAAAACCAATATTACTAATTAATTTATTTTTTTTTGGCCTAAAATTTGGACTAACAGTGGCCAATCAAAATTTTAGTAGCTGAAACTTGAGTTTTTACTGACTAAATTTAAATTTAGTTGCCAATAATTAAAATTTATTGACTAAAATATTTTAGAGCGATATCTTGAACCAACGCCGACAAATATAAATTTTAGTCGCCAAAAAATATACTTTCGACGACTAAAATTTGTTTAGTCGCCAAAAATGATCGCCAAAGGTATGATTTGTTGTAGTGACTAATCAAACACTATTTTGAATGGTATGTCTCAGATAACACTGTTGAATATGGGTCCACTCTTTACATGGTTAAGTTGTGTAAACTTACGAAACAACACTTTCATATGCCAATAATGAGAGAAAGAAAATAAAAAAATAAAAAACTTATCTATTTGTTTTTCCTTTTCCTTCACAAATTCATATTGAAATTCATAATTCAAACACAGCCTTAGTATTTTTTTTCTATTTGTTGTTATTGTATTCTATAAATGCCTATCTCCTATTTTAGGAGAATTCTATCATACACACCATGTACCATATACACTTTTAGTTACATCATTTTCTTCTTGTTTGGTTATGGCTTTTTATTTTTTATTTTTTTTATTTTAGTTATGACTCAGAAAACACTATAGGAAAAATAGGTTTTAATGGCGTTTTTTAAACACCACTTTTCTTAATTTTCAACGGCGTTTTATAACCGCCACATATTTGTTAACCAAAACGGCACCGTTTTATAATTGAAAACGCCTCCAAATGCGGTAGTCACACGCGCGTCCTCCATCGTTTCTTATTTTGAATCTCAGCCCTTTCTCTCTCTCAACCCTTATACGCACACATCTCTATCTCTCTCTCTCTCAACCCTCTCTAAGCTCCATCGAAGCTCCATCTGCACCGGCGATTTCGAAGCTCCATCGCCAGCACGATCTACACCGGCGAGGTAGCGAGCTCCACTGTCTCTCTCTCTCTCTCTCTCTCTCCCTCTCTCTCTCTCTCTCTTTAGTGAGAGATTTAAAGATTCAGAGATTCAGAGGTCCACCGTTTTATTCTGACTTGATCCTTGTTTGCAGAGATTCAGAGGTTCAGTGATTTCAGAGCGATTTCTATTTCGAAGCTCCATCGCCACCACCATCTGCACCTGCGATTTCGATTTCACTAAGGTGAGCTCCACCGTCTCTTTCTCTCACTCTCTCTCTCTCTACCTACACTTTCTATCTCTAAAACTCTCTTTTCTCATCTTCCAGAAGCTCAGATCTGAACTCTGACCCCTCGATTACTCACATTTCAAGCTCTAATGGCGGTAGCACAATTGCCAAGCCTATATGTTCAATCTGCTACGAAGATCTCAATCTAATCATCGAAGACCTTCAATCAATCTCCATTTGCGGCCATGTCTTCCACGAGCTCTGGTCAGTCACTTCTATACTCACATATTATAGTTATATCTTCACAATTGTTCACTTTAATCGATTATTATTCGAGAACGATCTTCAATTTGATGTGTTTTTTTGACAAACCTAGCCTTCAACAATGTATCAAGTACTGTTCAAATGCGAAGAAGAAACGATGTCCTATATGCAAGCAGGCCTTTTCGGAGGCCAATGTTAGTCGGCTTTATTTCCAATCAGTAGGCAATCTCTATCAGAAATTGATCAATTGTGAAGATAATCCAGGGGAGTTGCATAAGGAAATTGATCATTCGCAACAAGTAAGTTTCTCTATCATTTCCCCCCCTTTTTTTTGGGAGGGGGGTATTTTCTTTTTTCTAATGAATTATAAATATATTAATTTCAAACTCTGGACGGAGGCAACGAACAATCTAGTTTGGGTTTCTGTTTAGGCTTGATTGGTTCAAGGACAAAGTTGAAACAATATAAATGTTGAATTTGTTTCAACACCATGTCAAATCTGTGCACATGTTTTGCACATGTTTAGCAAATATCCGTCTGTGTTATCCCTTTAATCACATTGCAGTTTGGTACTGTTATGCCATATTAGAAAGAAATTATGAACAGGAACATTTACTATTCAATTCAGGCAACTTAGTATACATTTCCAATACTTCAAAATAACGGATAAATGAATCATTTGCCCTTAACAGGAGCATAGAAATAAGGTTAATTGGTATAACACTGAGAAATACTTACTGAAAATGCAATTCTAAAAGTCATTATTAGCCAGCTATATAGAGTTCAAACATACAGGCAACACAGTTAGCTGACTACAAACAAATTTGTTTGCAACAGGATTCTTCTCCCCCCCTCTCTCTCTCTCTCTCATAGAAAAGGAAAAAAGAACACTTTTGGCATAATTGTGATTTATGTGGCATGTTGGAACAGCTATTAACTTCTGTTTTGCCATTTTACAAGTTTCATTTCTTTTGGTTTAGTTGTCAGTTGGCACATAATTCATAGCTTCTTTCCACAGGAGTTGCAAAGAATTGACAGCCAAATGCAATGTTCTAGGAAGAGGAGAAGCCCGTGCTTTTCGCAAACTCGGGAAGACAAAAGAGAAGATAAAGAAACTGAAGGTAAATTCATCACGATCGAATAAGTGAATCAACCATGGTTAATTTGATTCAGGATATTCTAACGTGTGACCATTATCAGGCAAGGATCCAAGAAATGAAGACAGCTGCTGAAGTAAAAAATAATGAAGTTTCGAGGGCTTTAAAAGCTGCCAAGAAAACTATTCTTGAAGGGGATGTACTGAATGATGTTGATTGGAATTCTAACTCTTCATCCATTAGTGAGGATTTAGCTGTTGAGAAAAACTATTTTTCAAGGTCAGAGGCAGCTTCAGATACAAGAAGTGAAGTGCATAGACCATGTAACAAGAATCGGGTTTCAGGTTCAAAAAGTGCATTTTGGACAAATAAAGATTAGGAGGTAAATCCCTACCCATACTCTTAGGTATATACATGAATATATACTCCTATGTTCACATAATGTTATGCATATATAGATATGGAATTTGGAAATGTATGGTAGTTGTGTTGAATGTGAAACTATGTTTCCAAAATGAAGGTAGGTATGATGATAGCTGCTTTCCTGAACCTTGTATTCATCTTGTGAAGCATGTTTTCGGGCTAATTTGGACTGCATTTGCTTTCCTTTCATCATTAATACCTTAATGATTTCATGGTTTTGGCAATGGAAATTATTGTGTTAACTTGATAGACAATGTCACTCCAAAATCACAATTAAAAGTACAATGATTTTAGAGGTTGCAACAATTAGAACAAGAGATCAATCCTGTTGCATGCTTATTAACTTTCACATAATTCATCAATTTGGTTAATACTACTAACCTTTGACTCAAATATATTCTTCATATCGGTTGCTAGTGAGGTGAATCTTGCGGAGACACCTGTTTCCAAGGTTATGACTAGAAATCCAGTTTTTGTATTGTCCTGCAAAAGATGGTGCTAGGTTAGTATTGATCAGAAAGGCCACAACATATTATTTTTCCAGTGTTCTTTCCTAAATTTTTCACATTGAACAT